GTTGCTTTTACAATGAACAATTTTTTTATTCAAAAGTATTCTGATTACAGTTATTTATATTTTTTTCATTTCCTTGATAGATCCAGGTATATTTTATATCCAGTCTTGTGTTCAGAACAGGCTAGTTACAGTTTAGACCTCTTCTTCTTCTCAGTGCTGACCAGCTGTAAGCTCTGGTGAAAAGTTCTGGATGTTTGTCCACTTCTGGACCTTGATCTCATTGTAGAACATACATGGGTAGGCAGACTGTTGGTTCCTCACCTCGTAGGCAAATGTGCAGGCAGTATAAAAGAAAATATCCCAAATAAGTAATATTCTATGACATTGCTTGGTTGTAGGACCCTTCATTCTAGCTGAAAATCCCCAGCCAGTTCTTACACCCCGATGAACAGAACCATCGGTGTACACTACTGCATCATCTAGTCCAGCCTTTCCATCTGTCACTTGTACCTCTAACTCTACTATACCGATACACCACTCTCTAACATGATAATGACTTGATGGAAACTGCTGTTGTGGGTGTTCGTGTCGACCCCTTTCTCTTACTAAAAAAAGGGGGGGGGGGGGGAAGCACTGGAGTCTAGACAGAGAGGAACCTCCTTATATGTGTAATAATTTTCTGCACTTCTTAAACTTTGTTATAATGTATAAAACTTATAAATTAACCTGGATTGACATAAGGATTATTTTTCATGCCTTTCATACTGTCAACATCCACCCACACAAACAAGAAAGAAAGCAGAAACGAGGATATTCAGTTGGAAAAAAAAACAAAATTTGTTCGCTTGATTTATTTTGTATATTCATGAATAGGTGGCATTGTGCCATACTGTTTTAAATATGTAAATCATCATCTCAACCAGCAAGAAACAATAGGATTTTTTGGTGTTCAACAGAAAAACAAGACCAAAACAAATAATATGTGGTAGTAAATATAGTTTCACATAATTAAAAATAATGTAAAATCTCAAAGCAAAAAGTTTTGTTATAAAATATACAGCTTATATTTGTAATATTTTGTTTCATTTGACACATGTAGACAGAAGGCAACTAAGCATGTTTTCACAAGCAGGTATGAAGAAACTGACTGGAGCCACACATGGGTTTTTGCAAAGTAATCCAGCAATTAGAATATGAATTGCAGATACAAGCACGAAAATAAAAACAGAATGCCCAGTATCCATAAAAAGTAGAATCTATATTTCTACCTGATGTTTCCAAACTCCCAGTTACCAAGTATATTTGGTAATAACAAGTACTGGACTATCATATAAAACAATGCAGAAACATTGCAATACAATGATAAGACCACATACAAGGACTTTAGCATATAGTAGATTTATAAGCATCTTTTATATATAATCATATACATTTGTAAATGCTATATGTTGAATACTGATTTACTGTATCTACTGATGTACGACTGTTTAGTTTTGTTAAAGGTATCATCAGCTGTGATCCGAACTCAATATTTACAGCTTTTTAGATAGATAAATAGGCTGTTGAGCTGAGAAAATACCAAGTCTTACAGAAATGAAATGGCTATGAAAGCGCTATATCTGTTAATTACACAGATTTTGTCATCACAGTATCACTTCTTTGTTTTCTTCTTTTAGCCTTCATCCGCTGTAACTCTGAAAGAAAGTTTTAGTTGTTGTGCGCTTCTAGTAAGCTGACAGTTTTTATGTCGGGGGCAAGATTAAACATCCTAACCTGCACAGTCCGTGGCGACAGCCCTAAATCCCCAGGCACAAACCGGCTGTCTACACTGCCCAAAAAATTCATAAAACAAACAGTACTGTCAGTCTTATAGTGACAGCCCTTCTGGTCTTTGGTCTTATTCCAGAACTTGAGTTATGTATGCATATGAACTTTACAGATCTGGCTGATTTGTTTGCAGACTGTTTGTTCCTGGCCTCACAAGCACATGCAGTCTAACTTGAAGGATACACTAATCAGTCACATTTTACAGCACACTTGTTAGGGTTTGTGGGTCTGTTATTTTTTCTCTCAAATGGGGTCTTGAAACCCACTCAGAGAATACTGCCACTGTGTTCTACTTCTACAGACAGTAAAGGAAATATCCTACCATACAACCTGTGATTTTACTTTGACTTTCATATTGGCCAGATTTTCAGTATATTTGAAGTAAGAAATAGAAATAAGAAGAGAAAACCCATTAAAATGTACTTTGTTGGTGTAAACTAGGCCATTCCTGTAAAATCTTTTAGTGTAAACAATGTATGATTGTGACTTTTTCACCTTGAGTTCCAACCAGATGTAATTTTTTGTCATATCTTCTAGATTTCTTTCGAGTTACTAAATAAATCTGGTTTCTATGTTATATATTTCTGTATATTATATATATAATTACCTTGAAAGTAATACATTTTAATTTTTTTCTTAAACCATTTTTCTCACCTTGGACATGTGCTATTGTACCTTCTGGGACTGACTGAATTAAAGATCCCTCTGTATTATGGAGTAGCAATATCTTTCAAGATAAAACAAGATTATAAGGAACAAGTAAACAACATTGTACAGGCATTTAATGATCCAAACAGGATAATGAAATTACTGATAGCTGTAACAAAGACATTTTGATTTAGAAGAAAAGGGCATGTTTCATATATAAATATGTGAATATTTTATATATGACAGCCATGTCAAAGGCAAAGACAGTTAAAACATTGAAGAGTATGCTAACAAGAAATTTATATTGAAAGGTTTAATTTTCTTCGTTTCTCTTTTAAGTGCGTCACATATATTATTACACCTGTCCAATTCAGGTGTCACGTATGTGAAAGACATAGTTATAATGCATTTACTTTGATGGGGTCTATAATTCAAAGACATAATATATACCACAGTTACAATGCATTCACTTTCGTTGGGTCTGAAGCTCATGGACCAAGGACATGAGTGGAGACTGACTGACCAGTTCTAATTCTTGCTGGCAAATATTTGTCCAAACTTAACAAACTCTCTCCTGCACGTATCAAATGAATCAGCTGCATTATCATGCCACAGCGTCGAACAATGTTTTTGTGTGTGTATACAGTTTTTAAAAATTCAGCACATGGCCATTATGACTAGATAGCTTAAGTAATGAGAAGTAGGTGGTCAAAGGTCGGAATGTCCACCTCACGCATTCTACAGGTAATGATATGTGTTGAGTCCAATCCTTGTTAAGGCTCAGTTTGAACAAAAAAAAAATCCAAGTCTTCATACTGGATGTTGAATCAATAATCGACATCTTAGCACTCACGACATACCCATAAGTGCTCGATCCGCATCTTCAGCAGTAAGCGCAGAGTTAAAATTGTGATGGTACCAGTAGCAGTCTGTATGTCCTTCTTGCCTCTCTCTTGGGTGTTGAGTGTCAAATTCTCCTCAGACCATCATGATCTATTTGTGCCTCTTCCCTGTTCATTTGCTCTTAAAAGACCTGTACAACATCTAGCTTGTCGTGCATCAATATACAACCAAGTGGTGCAGAACCGGCCAGCCTATCTCAGTCTTTATACTGATGGATGGCAACTGTTTGGTCAAGCAGTTGTTTTTTTCTCTGTCTGGGAAACATTTTTAGGACACCTCTCCCTTTTTTGTTTTCACCCAGAAAAAAGACAACGACAGTGATGAAAACAGATGAAACTGTTGTCATAAAAAACTGATAAAACTGATCACATTGACAGAATTAGATAGAGAACAGCTAAAGACACATTTGATGAAATCAGTAGTCCAACCTAAAATGATCTAGACTGCAACAAAAATGGTGGAAGGATGGTGGTCTTAAACTTTAGTAAATCTAACTGCAGCTAAAGAAGAAGATTTTCAGAAAAGACTATAGTAACAGGTAAACTGTTGTAGATATTTTACAAGGAATGAATACAGAATGAATGATGATTACAATGATACGGTATAAAAATATATAAAAATTTCATTGTAAAACTGAAGCAGCATACAGAAGCATTACAGTCAACCAGAACATAATGAACTTAACTTTCAAGTGTATATAAATACTAATCAACACTGATACAGTAAATGTACAGTAATAAAACAAACCAGCCAGCGGAACTTAAAAAAATAATGTTAAAAAAAGGATTAAGAGAAAAAGTAGCAAAATATATAAATGAAAATTTCTATCACATAAGCAGGGATTTTAATTGTAAGGGCCAGTCAACAAGGAATCACATGAATACTGAATACATTCTAGGAAACTTAATGAAAGTCTAAAAAGTGTATGCTACACAAGAATGATTCAGAAACCATCCCTAAGAAAAGTAAGAAAATAAATCCATTAATCAGTGTTTGAATCAAAAGAAGAATTACTGATTGCAGAATTTAGCAGTTTAGATCAATAATGCTGCCTTATAAATATGTGTATTTTACAGTCTGCCATTGATATAAATCACTGAATCTGACTTGAACACAAATTGAAAAACTACAGATTTACTAACTAAATACTCAGCTGAAAAGTTATATATTCATTAGGGGAACAACAACAACAACAACATTGTATCAAATATAATGGCACACAAGTATATTTTCATAAAATACAATCACATTAAAATGTAGGATTTTCAACATCAATTAAATTTAACAAAAGAAAGAAATCTATAAATCAAGAAAAATACCTACAAAGGAATGAAGGGGAAAGTGTGAATAGTAAGGTAACTATGTCATCACAGATAGTTTGTTTCATCATATAAGCAACAAGATAACAAAACAGGCTAAGACCAAATGTGTACAAATGTAACAGGCATTCAAACACTGGTACAGTGGTTGTCCACTACATGATTGTTCTACATCCATCTATGTAACATCAGATTACTAGTTCCAAATATATCTAGATAAATATAAATATATACAGTATTGACATATGCAATGTAAATATTTAAGAGAGAATAATCACCAGTTGTTTTGTGGCTAAAGGTGTGCCCAAGAGGAATTTAATTTAGCACCAGTATAAAAGACTAAATATTTTCACGAAATATTCCCTAAACAGATGTGGTTGTAGGACAGTCCACAAATGAAGGTGAGCTAACAACCAAAGGAATAGTGCTCACTATATTGTCCAGAGAATCGGCTGTGCTAGAGGATGTTGACGCTGACTGGGTTGCTGTTACTGCTACAAGTTTAGCATCCTTCTTGATTCGCTGTTTGAGATGAACTTTCGCATGCCGTTTCTTCTCATCACTGCGAGCAAACTTTCGACCACAAATGTCACAAGAAAATGGTTTTTCCCCTGTGTGCGTTCTTTTGTGGGTAGTAAGGTGGTCACTCCGGCTGAATGACCGTCCACAGATTGGACATGGGAATGGCTTTTGCCCTGTGTGAATTCGCATATGCCTTGTCAGTTCATCACTTCTTGAAAATCTACGGTCGCAGGTCTCAACTAAACAAGAGTACGGTCGCTCATGGAGTGGGATCTTGCTGGGTCTACTTGGATACTTTCTTGGCTTCAAAGGTAACAATTTACTTTGTTGGTATGGCTGGTTGAGAACTGATGACAGCCCTGAACTTCCAGCAGTGTCTGAGGCACCTGCTGAATAGCTAGCACTGTCAGAAGGCATAAATATATGTTCATCCATTGGCTCCGTAACTGGCTCAGTTTTAATGACTGGTATATGAAACTGCGAAGACATTGTTGCGCTTGAGCCCATTTGAAGAGCACTAAAATTTGGTAGCTGTTCTTGAGAAAGACCTAGGGACCATTTAAACTCTGCAGGTAGATTAATGTTTTTGTTTACTAATTCTGATATTTGAGGGAACACAGTTTCTGCCTGAGAAGTTGAGGGAAAGTTCAGAAAATGTTGAAGTATTTCTTGATGCTCCTGCCTTGTGTGAGTACTTGTGTATGTCGGGGGTTGTTTCACTGAAATTCCAGTCACGGCCATTTCCATTGGAATAGTCATTGGTAACGATTGTGAGTAGGGAGGAGGTGGTGGTTGAAAGCTGATGCCTTCATCTTGAACTTCTGTGATCATAGACAGCTGTGGTTCTGGTGTGGAATGAGCAGAGCTGATTGGAGAGTTAAAGTCTGATGAATAGGGATCTGACACATCGTGGTGGCATGCTGAGTCTGATGGCGTTATTGGTCCTTGTGACTGCAGAGACTGTATTGATACTGGTGATGAGGATGTGTGAAGCAGACTCTGTTCAACCGAAGTTGGGGGTATTCCTATGAATTCACACTGCTGCGATAAATTTGAGGAACCAAAATGATGGGATACTTGGGTTGAATATGGAGCCTGTGATGTAGCTTGAGACAAAAATGCGGTGAACAGTGGCGACAGCGGAGTGAAGAGTGATGCTAAATTGGGCTGGTTCATATCCGGCTGAGTGGCACTAGGTGTTACAGCAGTGGTGACTAGGGTTCCTGTATAGGTAATGGTATGTGTTGTATTGCCACCTGCCTGCATGGCATGCACTCTTGATGTCTGATTCCCATCGCCAGAGTGTTCTGGGATGTTTATTGAAGCAATGATGTTTGCTGGAAAAAAAACAGAATTTATGTAGTTCATATACACACACAATGTATACATTCAATAGTCTGTATGCATATTCATGTTTGCAAAGTTCATCATATAAAATTGTGTGTATGTACTGTCTGTGTTTTGTTTTTATAATACTACAATAACTGGATGTTTAAACGAACTAGATAATTATGTATCTTTTCGGACCCACCCCCTCTCCCTCCCCCCTCCCGTATGCGTGTCTTGCGTCATTCTGTTCTTATTTGCTGATAAACACTTCCAGCCCTGTCACCCTAGTGTATGTTCACCCTGTTTAGTATTCTTGAAAAACTAATCAGTTCTAGTATGATAGTATCCGTCTTTGCTGACTGATTCATGATCTTAATCATGAGTAAGTTAATATAACGTGTTAACATGAAACGTAAGACAATAATTATGACACCTCCCAAAAGCAATAATAAATATATGGATAATTAAATCCCAGTGTAGATGCAATAGTTAAGGCGCTCAACTGACGTTACATCGGCGACATAGTCTTTAGCATCCACCTTGGAAACATCTATGATGACTGTGAATCCGTTGGGAAGTTAACAAGTTTTGGGAAGTTAACAAGTTTTCGCAAATCGGTAACGAATATGTTCCCCGAAAAAAAATGAAAAAGTTTTAAATGCACCAAATAATTTCAGTACAGACAAATACGGCATTTTTTCAAAAATCAACGTTAGGAATCTAAAATATTTCAATCACAGTGGTTTATAAATTATACAAATCGGACACCAGTAATGTGAATACCTTGCGACGCCAAAGCACTTCTTTCGATGGCTGGTCTGATTTTGTTTACATTAGGCTTTTCTGAAACTTCTTATTTGTAAGATATATAAAATTTTCAAAACCTACCAGTGGCGGTAATTGGTGGAGGCTCCAATGTGTCTGGTCCAAAGAATGTGGAATCTGAGTATTTAGTAACAGGCGTATTTAATCCCTCATCCAGTGCCTCGGAAATATGCCTGGTATGAGCCTCCGACGGTATATCGTAGCACAAACTAAGTCCCAACTCAGCACCTGTAGTCAAAGTGTCCAATGCGTCCATAATCATTACTAATATTTAATCCACAGAATGCAGAAAATACATCAACAAATGACCGAAAGTAGGATCAGCATTTAACTCTACAAGTTTTGCTGTTTACGTTAAGAAATAAGGTTTCTTTTCTACACAATGTTATCAGTTATGCTACAACTTTATGAATGAACATTCGCCTTTTATACTAGCATTTTATGAATGAACCGGCTGGCTGAGCTCTGCCCATATAGGGAACGTCATTTGTATGCGTAGCCAATGGTAGAGCTTAGACCCATTGACGTCAATGTTAACGTACGCACATGTCTATGAAATGCTTGTTGTCGAGGGTGAGAAATAGGTCACGGGCTTTCGTAGTGAATATCTTGCTCCCTAAAACATTTTTTGTCCATTTAACTTGCAAAACAAATTTGTTAATACACTTTCTCATTTTGCCGAAATAACTACATGATAAGATATTTTGTAGTTTTAAAGAAATCATTGATAGTATGCAATGTGACGATGTATTTGGTCGAAAACTAGAGTCGGAAACTTCCAAATTTGGCACACGACATTCCTCCTCACCCCTTTCTCTCATATGTTCTAACAAAAGGCTGATTATGTCATGACGTCAAATGCAACGGGAAATATAAAAACCTTATAAGGCAACTACACTTCCGTTATCTCCGTTCGGCAAACTTCGGAGTCTCTCCCTAGACAGCAATGTGGTTTACGATTGGTTACAAAATAAACATTCGGGTTGCAAAAGCAGGGATACCTGCATACCCAGGTTTTCCTGCGTCAATGTAAAAATAGACCACCCGAGGTCACTGGCTATAAAATATTGATCGACCCTGTTAGCAAACAGGAGGTCGATAGTTCACAATTGTGACCTCAAGAGTAGGGTCACAGTTTCTATTGAGACAACCGGTTTATATGTAGACGGCAGATAAGATGGATTTAAGATAGCGCCACAGTATGATATTATTATAAGGATCATTAATTTAATATTAGAGCTTCTAGCGGTTTTATGAGGCATATGAAGGTGTCATAGATCGATGCGTTCGTGTTGTAAAAGAAAGTAGGTTGCATTATAGAAAAACAGGGTCACGAGGAAAGCCTATACTAATGCCTACTTAAATTTGAGAGCAAAAATATTGTGATTATTGAGTTAACATGTTTATAAACTAGGTATTTAACAAGTGGCTATATTCTTCTTCTTAACATTCTTATTATTGAGTTAATGTGTTTATAAACTATGGTATTTAGCAAGTGTCTACATTCATCATTATCATCATCATCATCATCATCATCATCATCATCTTCTTCCTCTTCCTCTTCTTCTTCTTCTTTCCGTTTTTTATTCTTCGCTTATGTATTGCTTGGAATTTTGTTCAGCTTAGCTGGGTTTTTCAAAAAAAGTCCCATTGGCAGCCCTGCATGGAAGTGAAGGTGGTTGTAAAAATTGAAGTGAAGGTGGTTGTAAAAATTGAAGTGAAGGTGGTTGTAAAAATTGAAGTGAAGGTGGTTGTAAAAATTGAAGTGAAGGTGGTTGTAAAAATTGAAGTGAAGGTGGTTGCAAAAATTGAAGTGAAGGTGGTTGCAAAAATTGAAGTGAAGGTGGTTGTAAAAATTGAAGTGAAGGTGGTTGCAAAAATTGAAGTGAAGGTGGTTGCAAAAATTGAAGTGAAGGTGGTTGTAAAAATTGAAGTGAAGGTGGTTGTAAAAATTGAAGTGAAGGTGGTTGTAAAAATTGAAGTGAAGGTGGTTGTAAAAATTGAAGTGAAGGTGGTTGCAAAAATTGAAGTGAAGGTGGTTGCAAAAATTGAAGTGAAGGTGGTTGTAAAAATTGAAGTGAAGGTGGTTGCAAAAATTGAAGTGAAGGTGGTTGTAAAAATTGAAGTGAAGGTGGTTGTAAAAATTGAAGTGAAGGTGGTTGCAAAAATTGAAGTGAAGGTGGTTGTAAAAATTGAAGTGAAGGTGGTTGTAAAAATTGAAGTGAAGGTGGTTGTAAAAATTGAAGTGAAGGTGGTTGCAAAAATTGAAGTGAAGGTGGTTGTAAAAATTGAAGTGAAGGTGGTTGTAAAAATTGAAGTGAAGGTGGTTGTAAAAATTGAAGTGAAGGTGGTTGTAAAAATTGAAGTGAAGGTGGTTGTAAAAATTGAAGTGAAGGTGGTTGTAAAAATTGAAGTGAAGGTGGTTGCAAAAATTGAAGTGAAGGTGGTTGCAAAAATTGAAGTGAAGGTGGTTGCAAAAATTGAAGTGAAGGTGGTTGTAAAAATTGAAGTGAAGGTGGTTGCAAAAATTGAAGTGAAGGTGGTTGTAAAAATTGAAGTGAAGGTGGTTGTAAAAATTGAAGTGAAGGTGGTTGCAAAAATTGAAGTGAAGGTGGTTGTAAAAATTGAAGTGAAGGTGGTTGCAAAAATTGAAGTGAAGGTGGTTGCAAAAATTGAAGTGAAGGTGGTTGCAAAAATTGAAGTGAAGGTGGTTGCAAAAATTGAAGTGAAGGTGGTTGTAAAAATTGAAGTGAAGGTGGTTGCAAAAATTGAAGTGAAGGTGGTTTGCAAAAATTGAAGTGAAGGTGGTTGCAAAAATTGAAGTGAAGGTGGTTGCAAAAATTGAAGTGAAGGTGGTTGCAAAAATTGAAGTGAAGGTGGTTGTAAAAATTGAAGTGAAGGTGGTTGTAAAAATTGAAGTGAAGGTGGTTGTAAAAATTGAAGTGAAGGTGGTTGTAAAAAATTGAAGTGAAGGTGGTTGTAAAAATTGAAGTGAAGGTGGTTGCAAAAATTGAAGTGAAGGTGGTTGTAAAAATTGAAGTGAAGGTGGTTGCAAAAATTGAAGTGAAGGTGGTTGTAAAAATTGAAGTGAAGGTGGTTGCAAAAATTGAAGTGAAGGTGGTTGCAAAAATTGAAGTGAAGGTGGTTGTAAAAATTGAAGTGAAGGTGGTTGTAAAAATTGAAGTGAAGGTGGTTGCAAAAATTGAAGTGAAGGTGGTTGTAAAAATTGAAGTGAAGGTGGTTGTAAAAATTGAAGTGAAGGTGGTTGTAAAAATTGAAGTGAAGGTGGTTGCAAAAATTGAAGTGAAGGTGGTTGCAAAACCGCCGATGGGGAGAGACATAATTTAATTTCCAACAAATTTACAGGTATATTTTCTTCTTTAACTGTGTTGTCAGTTCTAATCAAGGACACCCATTTTTTTTTAATCACACAAGCTGATGTCTAGAATTTCAGTTATGAGTCGGGTTAAATTAATGGCACTCAAGACACGTCCACAGATCATCAGATTACCCCTTTAACATTTACATCGCCCGGCTCGCTAACGTAGTTGGCTAAACCTGACTTCGCGATGAAGGGGTGACGAACTGCTTGTGGTCCGACTTCACGCCCGGGGGTAGGCAGGAAAGCAACATTTCTCCCAGATTTACAGTATTTATCATGGAATCAAGGCTGAAGGGTTACGATATCCACAGTATCGAGCCAAAGGGTTAACAACTCATGGTTTCTAGATAATAATAAAATAATAATAATAATAATAATAATATTTTAAAAAAACAAAACATTTACAAGACTACTCATAGGACTAGTGTACCTCTCGTGCCTGGCAGTGCAGATCTGTACTGTTGATGGTGAATTCGGAAAAAAAGGAAAAAATTGCTAACTGATTGTTCATGAGAATTATACATTAGAGATAAGTTAAATTCAGAGAAATATCAACAAACAATGTGAAAAAATAGCAGCTATTCTTACTCGGGATACGTCTAGGCAAGTAAAACCCTGGAAAAACACACGTAAAGGTGTGTGGTAAACTTTTTCAGCTGTATAATAAACATCACCAGCTTTGTTTCAATTAGTTGTGTATATTTGTCTGTGTGTGTGCTGTGTCGTCTTTGTTTGCCGATGAAGGCTAATCGCCGCAACGTCCTTTGTTGTTCATTGTAATTGATTTTGTAAAGGTGACATAAATAAATGTGTTTTTTTCTTACTATTTTTTTTCTCTTCCCTATGATTTCGTACCCTTTTTCAAAACAGTTAGTTAGCACATGTCCGTCTTTCCAGACAATAGTTTCATATTGTTCTTACTGTAATATGGGAATCACAGCCCATGGAAATGGCGAGTGTGACTAGCAAGACCTGCCGGCTTAAGGCAAGTATTCTGTGATTAGAATACTGAATTCCTGGACCACTGTGCAACTGCCTGTTTTTTAACGTACTTGATCCCAAACGCTCAGTTCTCAGCTTATCTGCGATCATTTTCGACTTCCTCCAAATTTCCTAAATGATTTCCATCCCTCGTACCTCGCCTATGTGTGGCATCTTGTTCCAACGACTCCACGTCAATACGTCTATAATTCATGTCCAGCTTGTGAGTAAAGGACTAAAGCCATATAGGGCTAGACCTATATTTTATAGACCTAAGTGGTGAGTGATATTGTCAGCATCCTTTACCTCCTATACTTTTCCTTTACTACCCAGAACTTAACCTAGTACCCATGTACGGCTGAGTCGACCTGAGAACCAAGCCATAAAAAAAAAGTTAGGCTTTATCAAGGACTGAACCTACCACCTTCCGATCCGCAGGCGGGTGCTCCCATGTCCCGCATGTACATATCTTTAAATTCCATTAGATACCTACCTCGAGACCTTCCACCTGTAATTCGCAATAGAGGATATCCGGTTACTTCGACGTTAGTCTCCCCCACACCCCGTCCATTTATACACTAGCTCACTTCTGATTGGCAGTTCCTGGGCCCCGTATACTGCGCACACGATTACGGGGGTATTTCGCACTGCCGTTGATATCGCGTGTTGTATATTTCAGCACACCAGCGCTTTGCACACTCAAAAAACATGGATAAACTGTGTCTAACACTCCCCCCCCCCCACCTCCATAGATAGTGCTGCAACCTATGTCAAAGGTATTCTCCTTCTCGGAATGAAAATGTAAATACAAGACATCGCAGAAAACAAACAGAGCGGGACACAAAAGTAACCTTCAGGAAAGTCGACCAACCCAATAAACTTGTGAATGAAAAGTGACC